GGAGGAGGAGGAGGAGAATGAGGAGGCGCTGCTGATTGGGGTGGCTGAGTGCCGCATTTGCCAGGATGATGATTCTCTAAATAATTTGGAGAGTCCTTGTGCATGCAGTGGGAGTGTTAAGGTAAATATTAATATTCCTTATCATGTTTTGACTTGGATTATTTGAAAATTATCTGCATCTTTGTTAGTAAAAACATTAATTTCAATCCTTACTTCTTATCTTCTTGTTTTATTGTCCTTGAGACTATAAATTGGCTTCAAGTTTTCATATTTGTATCCTATATATCTTTATTTGAACAAGTGCAATTCTCAAGCTTGAATTACAATATGCTACATATATTGGTGCAGTTTTTTAATTTTCAAAATAGAGGTTGTATTGAGGTACTTAAAGTTTGGATTTTTATAGTGATTTTGACATTAAAAGAAAAAGTAAGTTTTTCTTTCACCATTGAATTTATATTAAAGCTGGATTATGTATGGATTTGTTGACTTTCAAGCTCTGGAGTTGGAATTGTAAAAAATAATTGATAAAGTTGAAAATATCATTTCAGATTCCAACTTTAATGTGTTAGGTTCATGCAACAAAATTGCGTTCGCATGGTTGGAACTAGAATATAGAAAGTTAATAGGATTTCAGCATCTTGTTAAGAAGAGCGTGTTTGGAATAGAACATTGTAATATTTCGACTTTTTTCTCAGGATAATAAAGGATTCCAACAGATTGAATCTAAACTTTGTGAATGTTAAGGAGGCTAAAAGATGCTCAGATTATTTGTGCCTGGGTGAATAATGCAAATCCTGACAGATTTTCCTAATTATATGGGACCCCCTATTCTACAATCCATCAACTTCTTCATTTCCTTCTGTCGTATCATATAAAATACTTTCCCTCCCACCCCTTTTCCCCGAGCACCTCAATTTCTTAATTGGCTCGTTAATGATATTGTGAGTACTATTCTTTTGCAGTATGCCCACAGAAAATGTGTTCAACACTGGTGCAATGAGAAGGGCGACATTACTTGTGAGATCTGCCATCAGGTATTTTTTGCTCCTTATGTTTTCATTCTCTTGCCATGTTCATTGTATTTGGGAATACGAAGCATTTTAAAATTTCCTGAATGCTTTTGTTAACTTTAGCCCTTCAAAGTGACATTTAAGGTTTCAAATACAAACTCAATCGCTCCGTTGATGTTTGCACAGAAAGCATTAACCGTTGGGAAGTAGATTTGTTAAAATCATGAATTGTGACTATTGTGCAGAAGTCAGTTGGAAACAAATATGCCTTTTGAAATCTTGGATGGGTGAAAAAAATGGTCTTTCTAAACTGTACATCCTCCTGAAATGTGTTATATATCTAAAGCACGTGTGTGCACATTCTTTCATCTGGTTAACATGTATACTGAGTCTGGTCTTATGGAATATCATAACTATTGCATTTATTTATTTTATTGTTTTACTAAGGTCTGTCCTTGTTTTAATTCAGTCACCTTTGAATTTCTGAAAATTATACATATATCCCTAGAATATGGGATTACCTAATGAAGTTCAAGTGTGATCTGGATTTAGTGAAATGAACTTTGGGAAAATTGCAGCAACAGTTTCTAACATTTTCAATTTTTGTAGACTTTACATTAACATTCATTTTGTGCCAATAGGAGTCCCTAACCTCTCATAAATATGCGGGTCTATTTGCTGTCCACTTTTCCGTTAGTTGACAAAAAAATGATTTTGACAACATTATTAATTATTTATATAAGGGTAAAATGGTAACTTTATATCTTTCAATATAAAAATGATAAAATAAAAATCATCATCATCTTCGACTCCTACCCCATACCATCCAAACGCCACCCCTTACCCAAAACCAAAATCACTCTACCCACCATCGCCCACCACAGTTCGCCACCGCCACAGCCACAGCCACAGCCACCACTATCTCTCCTTAATGAATCTGCAGAAATTGAAAAATAAATAAGTTCAGGCGGTGGAACCACAACACCACCATCACCAAGCCGACAAGGAGATCTAATGCATTTCAGATCTAGAGACGAGGGCCACCTCCAACTGCAACGGCAAGCCAAATTTGGGAGAAGAACCACCACCACTAACATTACCACTACCACTACGAGTCTACCTCCGCCTACATTCCACAACCACCAAACACTTCTACTACAAACTCAGAGGACATCTACAAAGCTGATAGTACTATTGGGCTAAATCTCCTTATCCCTTCCCAGATCCTTCAAATCTAAGGTCAATTCCAAGTCTAGCAGCAGTAGCAATTGCAAAATCAGCAAATGAATTACTCTCTTAGACATTTGCAGCATAAGCAGAATTGATTCTTAAGCTTTCTTGATCTAAAATTTGTTCCAATCAAAATCTGTTTCTTGGTCTAAGCTTTCTCAATGGCCTTAGCTACCGTCACCGCCTGCATGAACTGGTTGTTAGACCACGAAGCGACCACCACTTGAGGAGTGCTCGTATTTCCGCACAAAATTCGAAGGAAATTTGAAAATCAGAGAAGAAATGCCTTGCGCCAATAGTGGATACAAAGAGAGAGAGAGAGAGACTTGGTAGAGAACTTTCCACCTGAAAAAGGTATGTCCGACTGGGAGAAATCTGTTTTGAAGCATTTTAAAAATCTTAGGTGGTGAAGGGAGCTCTAGCTACATCACCTAACCAGGCTTAGAGCCAAAGTTGCCATATATAGCGGAATGGCAACCGCAAATTGAACTTGAGAATGGTGGATGGTCAGAACTTGAGCTATTTTCATATGCAAATAGGAGTGCAAAAGATTGAGCAATTGGCACCAAACCATCGTTCGGATATTGAATGCCTCCTGGGGCAACGTCATAAACAAGGATATTTAAACTGGGATACAAAGATTCTGATCCTCAAAAACGCTTTGATGGGTATAATGTTGAGAGCACAAACTTGCTAGTGTAAAAAGGGTTGAGACCTTGCTCTAGCAGGTTAATTGCAGGAGAATTGGTCCATATATGTGGTTCTTTTCTCCAAATCTGGCTTGCCATTGCAGTTGGAGGTAGTAATGGCTTCGATTTTGATGCGAGGTGGTGGTGGCTTCGATTTTGATTTCTCATTTGGGTTCCATTTGGCAGTGAAGGAGAGAGTAGCAAAGGTGGTAGAGGTTGTGGATTCAGATGACTGTAGTGACGGCGGTGGGTGGACTTTGGACGGCGTTGGATAGCTAAGGTTGGGTTTTGGGGTTGGGGTAGGAGTTTGGATAGGGATTGGATAGTGGTGGAAGATAATGGTTTTTTATTTTTTATTGAATTATTTTATTTATTTTTATATGGAAAGGGATAAAGTCTTACCCTTATGGAAATAATAATTAATAAGGTGGTGAAAATCATTTTCTTGGTCAACTAATGGACAAGTGGATAGATTCCATACGTTTGGACTCCATATGCATATTTTTGAAAGGATATAGACCTTTGTTGGCACAAATTGAAGGTTAGAGTAAAGTCTGCAAAAATTGAAAATGTTAGGAACCATTGTTGCAATTTTCCCTTATACTTTTAAGATGATAATTTATCTTTATGATGGTGTATTTCCCTTTGTATGTGCAGCCTTATCAACCTGGTTATACTGCTCCCCGACGGCCTCATCCTGATGAGACTGCCCTAGACATCAGGTGGGTTTGGTTTTCAAGTATTAAAATCTTGTCCTTTGTACATTCGTGATGAAAGCAGCTTTTATTGTATTAAGGGGGTGTTTGATTCACATTATTGAGAATAAAATTCATTTTTTGATATGATGTGATGGAAAATATGTAGTTAAAAAATAAGGTAAAGTTTTGGATGTGCGTGTAATATTATTTTATTGAAAAATGTATGGTTAAACATGAGTATTGAAAGAATGAATTTTTGGAAGAATGTGGATCAAACAGGGGCTAAATTAGTGTTCTTTGCCTCTCCTGTCTTTCCCGTCTACCCGTACAAACAGGAAAAGGAAAATGAAAACAAAAAGAGGTGAAGGAAAACCCGAGCTCTTATGACTGATTTGAGATTTAGCTACTTTCTTCATTGTGATTTGGGACTATCAAGGATAGTCATTTCATATATTTTATGATATTTAGGTTGTTTAATTTGTCTTTCAGGGGAGTATGGCAAATTTCTGGGACCCCTCTGGATGTGAATGATCCTCGTCTTTTGGCAATTGCTGATGCAGAACGTCAGTTCTTTGAAGCTGAATATGATGATTATAATAGTACAAGCAATGGTAGTGCTGCATTCTGTCGATCAGCTGCTCTAATTGTAAGCCTTTGCTAATCTATCAACAAAATTCATTGTAGATATTACTCTTTTCTTTTCATTTCAGTGTTTCATATGCTAACATCTGGAAATACAAATTATCTCCGAGTGAAATACCCTTCTTGGTGGCCAGTGTCAAATGTTATCATTAGCCTAGAAAGTGAAACTAGAAAAGAGAAGTTCAATAATAGGTAGTGAAGTATTGGCTACTTCCAGTGTTCAAAGCACAATACAGCGCTATCACAGTGTGGGTGCCATTCCATGGCGCGCTTTATTATTGCATACACTGTTACAAAAAATTGTGTATATGATTTTAAAGAAATTAAAGGGCACCAAATATGGTGAGTCGTGGTTTCTTGAAATAGAGTTGTGAGAGGGAAATGGTTGAATGAGGTGGATGCTTAGCACAACTAGCGTGTGCTTGTGTGTACAAGCACCTGCAAAAATGATGAGTGATTGAGGCTGATAAAATGTGATAGCAAATGATTGCTATAGGAAAGGAACACAGGGAAAAACAGGGAGTGAAATGAATGAGAGAGATAAAATGTCAAGAGGAAGTACAAATTAAATGGCCCAAGGCTATAGTGAATTTACTGTATTAATCTTTCATCTTCTTTTGTTTGTCTCATCTGAATGCACAAAAAAATGAAAAAATAATATATGATTTTAATTGATTTTGGTTCTATGCACTCTTTTATCCCAGCTTAATAATCTGCTGCCCTTCGATCATTTTAAACTCATAGCAGTGCTCTGTTGCTCAGTTTATGATCCGTTTCTCGAAAATTGGGAACACACTTTAAGTCTCTTCATCATCACTTGGGTTAACTTCATCAATCATGACTCCATGGTCTACCTAGTGATATGAAGCTTCAATTTGGAGAAAGTGAAAAAGTCTCTCATGGCCATTATTGGTGGGAGAACTGGTTTTAGTGGACAATAATGGAAGATGGGAAATAACTTGGGTTGGAAAGAAAGAATATTACAACCTCTACCCCAAACACACACACACAAAATAGTAGAAGAGATGGAGAGAGAAAGAGAGTGTATGTAGAAGCGAACAAGAACGAGTAGGGAGGGAGGGAGGGAGGGAGGGAGATGATTGTCTTCCAATGGTGAAACGTGCACAGAATAGTCGTGTTGGAAGGATTGCAAGAGCTCGGAGGGAGGGGAGGACGAGAATTACTGAACAGCTAGCTGGGGTGTGAGTCATGAGGTATATCAGCAAGTGATTTATGACTTGATCTTTGGTAAATATTTTATAGTTCTTTTCTTAGCATTGGGGCAGATCTGCAAGGCAGTCTCTACAATGTTAAACCATAATGTTGCTTGGACTCGGGGTGGACATTACTACATTTTTTATTTTTTTTATTTTTTACTTTGAAACGATATAATAAAATCTTCAGTCTTGAGTTTTACATTAGTGGGTGAGAGATTGTTAGAGATTCAATTTTCCCTCAATCTTTTCTAAATTGAAGGAATAAATTGAGCTATGAAAATCTTCTCTAGTGAGATACTGGGACATGCTACCCTGCATAATTAAAAAATAAATAAATCTTGCTATTGTTGATTGGCAGTTAATGGCTCTTCTGCTATTGCGGCAAGCGTTGTCTGTAACTGATGGCGGCGATGGAGAGGGCGATGGCGATGAAGATGCATCTACTTTATTCTCCGTATGTTGATGCAAACTCTATTTTGTCATTTGATTTTTCTTGCTGTGGTTAGTTTAATGTTTATTATCCTCTATCCTTGCTATTTGATGGATGCAGCTTTTCTTGCTTCGAGTTGCTGGTTTTCTTTTGCCATGTTACATCATGATCTGGGCCATTAGTATTTTGCAACAGCGAAGGCAGAGACAGGTTAGTCTATAGCTATTGTAATAGTTATAATATCTATTTGCTTTTTGGGTGTGCAAACTGCTGCTTGGGGATTGAAGCTACTTACAAGGAAGTAGCAGTGTCAAAATGTTGAGCGAGATTTTTTTACAACGGAGAAATAGAGTAGGCCGGTCATAACCATATTGTTTCTGCCCACCTTGGGACAGGCCTACCGACAGAGATGGTCCATGAGCGGCCATTTCTGGGATCCTTTTGTGAATGTCTGCAACCCAGCCTGGCTGTCCGGATTGACACCACTAAATGGTAGTAATATGACCTGACGACCTGTAGTTGTTCACGTCTGTCTCTGATTTGTTGGTACAGGAGGCTGCAGCACTGGCGGCTACACAATTTGCAATTGTGGTACAATCCGCGCAAAGCAACAGAGGTCTTCTAGTTGCATCTGCTGCACCTGCAGTCGGTTCTCTTGTCACTCCGCATCAGGAACAAGTTTAAGTAAACAATTGCATGCAGCGGGTTGTTACTTTACATGTAGCGGGGCAATTATGCAGATGACTGAGAGAAGCTCTCCCCAAATATGTTTTCCTCTCTTCCCTTTTGTTCCAATCTGAAATTCCTAATGTTAGAAATGTATATGAATATTGATTCTCTAAGTGAGCTTTCTTGGAGAACTGACCGAGAGTTTAATTAACTTCATCAAAATGCATTTATAGTATTCAATGTAAATCATTTCATAACCTTGTATTTGCTCGCAACTTTGGACTTACAATTTCAACTGGAGGTCATTCAATTTATATTTCGAATTCAAGTTGAGCATTGAACCTTGCTTTATTACAATCAAATCACCATGTTGAATAAGTATACATGAATACTATCTATTTAAAGGCTTATCTCTTTCAACCCAACTTTATACTTGGTGTTGTCATGGTAGCTCAATTTGATTTTGTTTTACTATGGCTACCCACTTTATACTTAATGTCATCATGACATTCTAAATTTATATAATATTTCATCATGAACACCTAATTTCGTATAATAATTTACAATGACCACCAAACTTCTTTTTACTACTTTCATTAATTCTTAAAGTGGTAAAAAGGTAACGTTGCATTATATATATAATAAATTAAAATAAAAAACTTATTTAAAAATGAAAGATAATAAAATTGGGTGACTATGATGAAATAAAATCAAATTGGGAAGCTATGATAACATTAAATATAAAGTTTGGTGAACCTGATGAAATAAAAACAAATTGAGTGCACATGTTGACAAAGTATAAAGTTGGGTGGTCATTGATGGATTTAACCCTATTTAAATATGTGACCGATCCCTACATGGTAGACACCGTCAGTTTGGACGTTAAGTGATTTGACAGTTTTGCCTTCCAACTTCAAATCACATAAAAGTAGCATGCAATTTTAACGTTGAGATTGATGGTTTTTGTCATGTGGAGACCCATACGCATATATTCAAATATGTTGAAGATTCTGAACTCACTTTTGTAGGTCGGGATCCAAAATCCCACTAATTGAAAAGATATGGAGCACAACCCTAATTTTTCCTATTTAAAACATACAACTCCTTTGTCATGAACAACTCACGTTACTATAAAGAAATGTTAATAATTGGTTTGCAATACTTATCTCTGGGAGATGTATAGACAACACTTGGAAAAGTTATCAGATATACATTACTGATGCGAACCAATGGAGACCACGAAAAAAGAATGATCCATCTCGTATTCGCGTTGAGGATTGCTATCAGATTGCACCAATATCAATATGTTTTCTTTTTTATCAATGGAGGAACAATATCACTTTTTTTTTTCAATAAGATCCAAAGTATCATCTACTAAATATGAATCAAATAAAACCAATGCTTCCATGGATCCATTTGGGTTTACAATTATAGCTTCCACACCTGTTTGTTTTTTGTTGGTTCATCATGCTATTGCTCTGGGTTTACATATAACTACATTAATCTTAATAAAAGATGCTTTAGATGCACGATGTTCCAACAAAAGAAAGGATTAAAAAAAATGTTGAATGACCAAAAAAAATACAAGATACATGTTCGAACAAAAGTTACAAAAAGGCCAAGACTTCGTTGACATGAAAAATCGACACAACTAATAATCTCTCACTTGCTGTGATAGTTCAGCACATAACACCAAAGGAGCATGGGATAAGTCTCTTATGACATTTTAGGTAGAACCAATTTGCATGAACTCGAAAGATGATTCGCTCTCCGAGACAAATCTCTTAGTGTTGTCAATCTAAACGGCCACATTAGAGCCAAGGTCATTCATAAGAAGCTAGAGCTCAACTCTGATGCTCGATTTCCTTCACTAGTGTTTGTTAGCAGGTTTTCAAAAGGAGATGGTGCACCTCATGCAAAGCTTAAGAGCCTCAAAGCATAGACTTTGAGTGCTTTTTTTCTTTGAATGCTTGCGACTTGACCCAAATGAGGCATACTGGATTCCAAGGTGCGTGCTAATTAGATTTAACCTTTATGGACTTCTTCTTCTTCTTCTTCTTGTTTTTTTTTTAAGCATCCTTGAACTTTTTTGAGCCGGAATTTTGTAAAGATCTTTTTTATTTTTTCAAACAATATTCAACTCTCATTGACCTAAGAAGAAAAACAATTAGTCTTTTGATATTTTGTAGTCTCATAGAGCATCTCCAATATGCTCTCTATTTTTAAAGAGCATAATCTATCATTTGGAGAACATTTATAAATTTAGAGAGTTAAAATTTTGAAATAGTCCAACAAACTCTTTATATTTAACACTTAATTTACTACTCCAAAAAAATATTTATTATTTTTGTTTATCTTGTTAACTAGCTTTTCTTTAAATTATTTTATTATTTTCACACATTGAAATTGATACAATATGAATGCATTGAATTATAGAGAATGAGTTCAGCTATTCTAATTTGGAGAGTCGAAATCAATCTCTAA